GATTGAGTTAGCGTTAATTCACGTTTAATGATGCTATTGATTGGAACACGCGGCTGTCTGTGTTCTAGCAGCCTCTGTCAAACCAATCAGATTAGCTGAGTACACCTGTATAACCACGGAAACAAATAGCGCAAAGCAAACAGATTGACGGGATGAGTTTGCAAGAGAAACGCAGCGTTCGCTCGAGGATCAAATGGCAATCAAGCGGCGGCAGTCAGACAAAGCGGAGATATCTGTGACCAGACTCCAAATGAGCGCCAGAGACACAAAGAGAGAAATGAAAAGCTCACAGTGCTCGCCCTCGATCTCTATTTGCTCAAACTAAGAATTGAAGATCACTCTTTGCTGTGTGCGCACACACAAAGAGCTCAATCTATCAGCACAACACAGTCCCGTGGGAGAGGAAACATAACGCATCCGACCATCGCCAGATTAATGGGTTAACACCCGGCACGTGCCCATAATGTGCTCCCGGGGACGCGGAGATTAGGCCGCGGCAGACAGTCCCGTCTTCAGTGGGCAACACAGAAGCCTATCGATCCTTCCGGATGTGTGCGTGTCTGTTCAGTGTACTAGACTCAAAGCGAGGGAAAGAGTGATGGGTATGTCACCAGTGCTTGCTCTGCTGACAGTACATAAGGACTGTTGACAAGTTAAGATGAAGCCTCACACACAAGCTCTCTCAGGAACAATAGGGCCCTTTTTCTTTCTGTCAATAACCATGAAGTGTTTCAGGGTGTGTGTTCGCACTCAACTAGTATCTAAAATATATGTAATGTGGGAATAAAAGAAAGCCCTGGAGGTGAAACTGTGGCCTGGATTAACACAGTTCAGCAGGCATTCACACATGGTGGGATGTGAATCTGGTTTATTGTCAACTTTGCATGTTTCCTTGAGTATGCGGGACATTAGGGGTTGAACACGCTCTCCTTTAAAAGCAGTAATAATAATTTGCTTGAATGATTTTTTTTTTTTTGATTGTTTGTTTACTACTCTGGAAAGCTTGCAACTTTTATGATCACGTAATGCGTCTTTATGCAGTTTTTTAACTGCAAAATGATTTTTTAAAAGTTTTTTTTTAATTGAACCAACAAGCACAGCAAGTGATCTGATGAGGGCTGATGCATTTTTATTTTTTTTAATTTTTTTTACTGTACACAGAAACCTACCTCTTCTAGCAATGCACTGCAGCACAAATAATTATGGTTACTTTTTTTTACCTTTTTTTTTCCTATTCAGTGTTTTTTTTTTTTTTACATTTATTTTTCTTAACATTTATAGGCTATTGTTGGCCTCATAATGTTGTCAGTAGTTTAAAGTTGGCAAGTAATGAAAATTCACTATTTTCTACATTACTTAAAAATTTATTCTCTTTGGTCACGTATGCCGGCCAGACTTCTTTAGTCATTTACAAAATTTTTACATTTATTAAATCGTGCCCTTTTCTTATTATCAAGTGCAAGCTTCCATTCAGATCTGCCTCCTTAACAACTTAAATAAATCCAAGTCAACCAAGTCAAGTTTTGTCCTTTATGATAATCCTGTTCAATTGGATGTACATCGCAAAAGAGAAGAAAAGATACTTCCATTGCATCTCGACTTAATTGCAAGCATTTCGCTCTCCTTGACATTTATTCTGATGTACACATAATATAGAAGTTAAAACCGTTCAAACAAAGGGAACTTTCTGCATAGAATTAATTTTGATACCTTAAATACTTTATCTTGAATGATGACATGAATGATTTTATGTTGGCAGCTTGACATTTTAGTGACATTTACATTGAATAATTATGTAAATGAATTAAAATTTTAAAGCCACGCAAATTTTTTGCCATCACTTTTTTAAAGTAGACAAACACCTGTTTTTTCACTGTTAATGTTAATATCTTTTAATATGTTAATTAACAAGTGAAAATCAGACATAATTTGCTATCAGCACTGCATGTTGAAATTTTGTTTGTGTATGTTAAAATGCACAACATGCCTTAAAAATAGTCTTTCTTGAAAATTTCAAATTAATATTATGTTAGTTTGCAGATACCTTTTTGGTTTTAAAACTCTGTGGTCAAGCAGGTTCCACTGAAACATTAGAATACTTGTCTCTCTACCTCCGTGTCTTTCTCTCTTCCTTTCCCTCCATCAGTTCGCCTCCCTTCTGCGTTTATGAATGGGACCTGCGGCCATTGTCTCTGTGTCAATCACACGCTCTCACACACATACCCAGGAGACACACAATTGACATTTGGCAGATTGCTCTGTGTGTGTGAGTGTGAGAGTGTATGTGTGTGTTTTAGGTTATTAAGATAAGGCAGGTATGCCGTAGGTTCTTCATTAACATGTTAGGGGATCTCATCATCCTTTCTCCTCTAGCACTGTGGCCGTAATTGGGTAAGGCTATTAGACACAGAGTGATCATGCCTGTGTGATGGCAGGAGGGGGGATGGTGGCGTGGCCAATGGGGGAGGATGGAATCTTATAACTTTAAGACACAGTATGTGTGTATGAGAGCACGTCTATATCGGTGTGTAAATGCGTGCTGATGGGATAGGACTATTAAAGCTGATGTCGGTTTAGGTAGGCTTTAATAGTGCTGCTAAGCAGTGGGTAATTGGCCGTATCCTGAGAAAATCGGAGAGATTGATTTAGAGGTGCCTGCATTTAAGTGGACACCTTGCAGGGTTGTATTTTAAGCTGTAAATTGTGGCTAGTGCCACTTGGCATCTGTAACTGCACAATGCGAATGTGAGAAATGGATATGTGAGTATACTTTAAATACCTCTAATAATACTGGCCGTCTTATTCTTAATAGTCATATTATATTATATTATATTATATTATATTTTTAGACTATGAAGAATCACACGGCCAGTATTATTAGAGTTAATGAGCAATTGTTAACCTATGGATCTATTACTTGTACTAACCCATAAAAATGACCTTTGTTGATGTAACCTGACTGCTTTTTGGATGTATTTGTTTTCTGAAATATCACAAATTTTTCTAAGGTCTTTAGGTAGTGAGAACTGCTCTTCTGCTTTTAGTTTCTCTCCCATACTTTTTCCAGTATGATTCATTTTTAGCTCTTCATGTATCTGTTTATGGTCTCTTATGTACTGCAGCTGTGAGCACCTTCTCGATGGCTCTTTGGAGAAGAGAGCATGTAGTTAGTGTCTGAGCTGTGTCTCTGGCTAGTATTAGCTTTTGTTTAACAGTTTCCAGAGCTTCTGTTTTGGATGATCCATTCTGGTTTGTTTTGTTTTGTTTTGTTTTGTTTTAAATCCATGGCTCTATCCTTGATCTTTACTCTGTTTTGTAAGTCAACAAGCCTTGTGATCTCCCTCCATGTGGTCTTCATTTTAGACATTCTCTTTCCAAGAACAGATAGCTTGTCGATTTAACGTGAAGGATCAGCACTACTGAGACATCAGTTTATTGTTTTCTGTTAGTGTGGTTGTTGCAGTTGTACTTGGTGGCAAATTGCTACTGGTGTCTGATTTTGGTGTCTTTAATGATAATCTTGAATCACATTCCACCATATGAAAAAGTAATTCCTTAAAACTGTAAGTGTCATGTGACAAAGGGCTTGTTAAAACATGAGCAGGAAAGAATGGTGCAAATTATATAGGGGAATACAAGCAAATCTGTTTCAGGGTGACCAAAATTAAAAGGACAACTTAAATATACACTATAGTAAATAGTTTCAATATTGTATAAGCATCATAATTCCCCATATTTCTTCAAACTCCAAAAGTTGTGGATTCATGGTGAAGTATATTAACCACATCATATGAAGCCTTCGCCACATCTTTTCTGTTTAGAAATTAAACACTGCCATCTTGTGGTTCATGTGAGGTTTACATTCTCCCCCACTGTCACTGTGAAAAGCACAAAAAGCTTTTGGTTTAAAAAGGTTACATTAAAAAAAAAAAAAAAACTGCCATTGTAGGTTTAAAAACTTAAATCTAAGAATGGGTTACCAGAATTTTTCCATAAAATAAATTCAATCACAATGTTCCAAGAAAATTAAAGGGCTATTTATGTTAGTACGTATAGGCCTAGGCCTATGTCATAAAATGTTTATAATATATAAAAACCTACTACAATCTGTTTTTTACTGTAAAATGTATAATAATATATCTGGTGGTACAAAGAAAAGTCACATGATGACGTTTAATTAATTGAAATTGGCTCCACAGCAACTGACCAATAACAAAATAAAAAACTTTACCAAAATTGTTAAAAAATCATCACCCACAATAAATAAACAAATAAATAAAGACACTATAAATAATATAAGCATTAACTAAACAACATAACTGAGAACTAAAATAAGATTTTTCTTTTTTTTTGGAAATAATTCTGGAAATAACCCTTAATTTGACAAATTATAAGGTGATTCTTATTTCATAAAACCACACTCTAACGATATTTTATCGTATAATTGTAATTATTGCCTTGTTAAAAGTACCTTTTTAAACTGTGAATGATAAGTTTATTCATATATTTTACTAGAAAACCATTTTACGATATTTTACAGTCGAATTAGGCCTGTTTATGTCTTTAAAAATCTAACATATGTTAAAACGTGTAGAACTTACATTTAACCAATTAGAATTGTTCAAAAAAAAATTTTACATTATTTTCCCTTTAAACATTTACATTTTATACAGTGTGTCTGAGACAATCGATTTCCACGCGTAGTGCGATGCTATTGGAACGCAATACTGGCAATCTGTCAATTGACGTGCAAGGCGAAGAAAACACGACCAGAGAGGGGAGACATAACGTGTCAAATCAGTGTGCGACGGTCCTAATGATTCAGAAAACGTACAATAATGTAATAATAAAGAAAGATATACTATTGCTAAATAGTGTATACTGATACTATCACTGAGCGTCGTGTCATTATCAAGCAACATCACTATCGGTTACAAATCTCACCATAAGCGGATTGGTTTGGCCCTATTCATTAACGGCACCCGAGCCTCTCGCCCCTCCCCCGCGGACCAACCGAAACGTTTTATCATGAAGGCGATTTAATTAGCTACATTTTATTATTTGTTATCAATCTAAGCATCAGTACTGGAATGCGACGACTAGTAAATAAGACCCGAGTCTCTTCGCGCGTACAATAACAATGATCGTATGATTAGGTCCAACGCATCCAGTCATGTTTCTTTTGCATCCGCTGCTGCAGATCTCTGTTCTGCTGGATGCGGTTTCTGCCAGCCCTACCGATGATAATGTGCTGCGGGCCGGTCATGGAGAACACGGAGAGCCGGGGCATGAAGAACCCCATAAGGATTCCTACAGTACATTCGCCTCCGAGTTCCTCGAGTCCAGATACCTCTCAGACGAAGGTACGATGGAATAAAACGATTGCGCTTAATTTGAAGTCAGGAATGCTGGTTTTGTGTTGTTTCTCACTCAGTATACATGAGTGCAGTTCTTAGGAGCACTGAATACATGCAGTGAATGGTCACCGTCTGATGCCCTCCCTCGACTACAGGCCTATTAATTAGGTTAATAGTGTTGTCTGTTAGTGATAATTATTAGCAATACTTTTATAAGAGATTGGTTTTGATTCACTAATATAATCATTTGCATTCATATGGTACAACATCAGCACCTTGGTCAGCACCCCAAAAGCCTGTGAAACTCGCATCCATTCCAGACCAGTTACCCACAGGCTTTTCCAACCCCCCTATTTTGTAATCTACTTTTTTAATAAACTGCAGATACTCAGACAGTGATTCATAAAGACGCAACACATCAAACAGAATAGAATAGAATAGAAACTCTTATTGCCACATGACTGGCCCAGTGTTGTAGGTACAGCTGTGTAACATGTTTGGATAGTTCTTTAAAGTACAAATGTGTGAATATACAGTATCATGTATAATGTACAAAACAATATAAAATACACTACCATTCAAAGGTTTGGGGTTGGTAAGATTTTAATGTTTTTGTCCAGTCTTTAGCGTCACATGATCCTTCAGAAATAATTCAAATACACTGATTTGGTGCTCAAGAAACATTTCTTATTATTATCATCAATGCTGAAAATAGCTCAATATTTTAGTGAAAACCGTGAATGTCAAAAGAACAGCATTTATTGAAATTGAAATCGTTTGTAACATTGTAAATGTCTTTATTGCCACATTTGATAAAAAAAACCTTACTGATCCCAAACCTTTGAACAGTAGTATGTCATGTCATATAATAATATAAAATGCAAGACAGTGTAAATGATTGTTTATTACCATTGTGTGTGTATGTGTGTGTTTGTGTCTGAAAAAAAGTATTACACAACATACTATATTACGAAAACTTTACCCAAAGCTAAGGTTAAGTTGCCCCTCCTGCATTACAATGTATTAAGTAAAATTAAAATGTAACAAACAAATATATGACATTAATTATTATTTTAGTAGTAGTACTAGCTGAAACCATTTGATTAATGTGTTGTTGTCTAATGTCTCAAATAGGTTACCCCTTCCCAGCTGCACCCCCTGTAGACCCATTTGCCCGCATCAAAGTTAGCGACTGTGGAATAACCAAAGGATGCATCAGGTGAGTGCATGGAATAAAGGTTCAATTTAATTTATAAACAATGGGTTATTGTGGCATCAAACTGTGCGTTGCATGCCGTAATGCAGAATCAAGCTGTCCGGTACACTCGTAATATATACATAAAATAGACATGCACATCATGGATCTTTGTAGGTCTGTGTTGATGATTGTTCATAAAGGGGTAAGTTCACCCAAAAATAAAAAGTCATCACTTTGTCTCTCTTCTGTTGCTGTAGATATGGCAAACCAGGCTGTGACGCAGAGACTTGTGACTACTTCCTGAGTTTCAGACGCATTGGCACAGATGTGGAATTCGAGATGAGTGCAGACACTGATGGATGGGTTGCTGTCGGTTTCTCCTCTGACAAAAAAATGGTAAGGAGAGAGGGATTACATATATATATTTGGTGTGAATGCCTGCTAAGAAATACACAATGATATTGTTGTTGTAGGGAGGTGATGATGTCATGGGCTGTGTTCATGACGATAACGGACGTGTACGGATACATCATTTCTACAACGTGGGCCAGTGGGCCAAAGAGATCAAGCGCAACCCGGCGCGGGATGAGGAGGGCATCTTTGAAAACAACCGCGTCACGTGCCGCTTCAAACGGCCTCTTCATGTGCCACGGGAGGAGACGCTGGTGGACCTGCACCTCAGCTGGTACTATCTGTTCGCTTGGGGACCTGCCATTCAAGGTAAAGACACACAGCCTGGTGTTAAAAGAGTAGTTCATACAAAAATGAAAATTTGCTGAAAATGTACTCATCATAACAGATTTGGAGAAATTTAGCATTACATCACTTGCTTATTAATGGATCCAATGATAGGTGTTTTCAGAATTAGTGTCTATAAACAGCTGATAAAAACATCACAATAACATATAACATGACTTTACTCCATCAAGTAATGTCGTGTGTTTTTCTAATAAACAAATCCATCATTAAGATGTTTTTAACTTTAAACCATTGCTTCTGGCTAAAATAAGAGTCATCTATCCGTAATATTGCTTACTCCAGTGAAAAAGTCTGAATCATGAGAGAAATATACACACATTTTACAAGCAAAAAACTGTTCTAAACAAATATTCAGTGGATTTTGATGTGAGAGGACAACAGAGGACAGACTTTTCTCATTGGAGGAGCGTTATTAACTGGTATTAACGAGTTATATAACTGGTATTTTGGCCAGAAGTGATGGTTAAAAGATAAATTCCTTAATGATGGATTTGTTGCTTATAAACATGCAGTTTTCACCTCACAAGACATTAATTGATGGACTCATGTGGATTATTGTGAGGCTTTTGTCAGCTGTTTGAACTGATGGCACCAATTCACTGCAGAGGATTCACTTGTGAGCAAGTTAATGTAATGCTGTATGAAATTATGTAATAAAAAAATTCTCCAAATCTACATCTACATCTTGGATTGAGTGAAGTGCCAGCAAATTTTCATTTTAAACTATTCTCTTTAGGGCTACAAATGTAATATTGCCCTATTTATGGGGATCTTGTTCTGTTTTTCTTCTCAGGTTCCATCACAAGGCATGACATCGACTCCCCACCAGTGTCAGATCGCATGATTAGCATCTATAAATATGAGGACATTTTCATGCCCGCCACAGCCTATCAGACATTCTCCTCTCCCTTTTGCCTCCTCCTCATCGTTGCTCTTACCTTCTACCTGCTGATGGGCACACCATAACCAGCGAAGCCGTGTCACTGAGAGAATAAATGAATACAACAAACTATGGAGCCACTATAGCATGACTGTGTGCCAACATAACAGTATTAGAAACAGGCAGCAATAAATTGCAATTCTATAATATCCTCAATCTATGTACACTAGAAAGGTATTTGGACTGTGGATTAATATTCAGTTTTATACAAGCAATGATTCTCATTTAGAGGAGAGAGGGTCAACCATACACTTATTATATATTACAATATATTTTATTTTGATGAAAGAGTAGAGAAACCTCAAGTGGTATGTTATGGTAGGTATAGCCTACAATAGTTGAAACAATCTGAGCCAAATTAATGTTAATATTCAGTATACTTAAAGTGCAGTCACATTAGTGAACTTTCAGTAAAATTTTGCATTCAAGAAAGTCCATTGTATATCCCTGTCAAACCATCAGCTTTCTGTTGGTCAAAGCTGTGAATCCAAAATCTGTATGGGGAAATCTTTCATCCATACGTGAAATTCTAAAACAATGATTCCTATTGAAATGACTGAATTTTACCAACGAAAACTTGCTGAACAATGATTAGTGTGACCGTATCTCTACAGTGGCACATATCATGACACATAATGTCCCTCTACAGAACTCTACGGAGAAGTGAATTGCCTCGTTCTATTGAATGGAATATGTTTAGCCAAATCTCAGTAGAGGTGCTCTGCTGTTTGTAGTTGCCTGCTATCCAGTGTTTTCTAGTATATTACAGTTCTGATTAACATTTATTAAGGCTGTGGATTTCAGAGTGATGTAAATTAATTAATGCCTGTGTGACTGACTACGCAACTAACAGCAGTACATAATTTGCCCTACAGCACAAACACACATGCAAAGAATTCATAAAACATCACTGCCTTCCAGTTAACTAGCATTGCCAGCTCAGTATTTGATGATGCATGCCAGCAAACCAGCCTCATCTGAGCCATTTAGATCAGGAACAGAACCAGTCCAGGAAAGACTCATCTGGTTTTCGTTTTAGTGAATTGAAGACTTTCTATACCAAGGACTTCATGCCATTGTAAAACATACAAATAGTCCAAGAACTGATTGCTGCCTGTGTAGAAAGATTTGGATCACACCAGTTAGTGTGTGATTGTTTTCTGTTCATTATTTGGCGTCCTTTGAAAATGTTCTGTAATAACATTTGTATAACAGACTGAAGAGCAACACGTAAAGATGTTTAGAAAGGAATTATTTAGTTTTAAATACGTATTCACCTTAAGGTGTATGAGGAAATGTACTTCAGTTTCAGTTCAGTTTCAGTTTAATTTATTTATATAAACAGAACCAGTCCAGGAAAGACTCATCTGGTTTTCGTTTTAGTGAATTGAAGACTTTCTATACCAAGGACTTCATGCCATTGTAAAACATACAAATAGTCCAAGAACTGATTGCTGCCTGTGTAGAAAGATTTGGATCACACCAGTTAGTGTGTGATTGTTTTCTGTTAATTATTTGGCGTCCTTTGAAAATGTTCTGTAATAACATTTGTATAGCAGACTGAAGAGCAACACGTAAAGATGTTTAGAAAGGAATTATTTAGTTTTAAATACGTATTCACCTTAAGGTGTATGAGGAAATTTACTTCAGTTTCAGTTCAGTTTCAGTTTAATTTATTTATATAGCACATTTAAAAATGACAGAGCCGACCAAAGTGCTGCACAGAGAAGTAGAATTAAGCCAATAACCATAACAAATTTACAATAAAAAGGTGACAGAAATAATACACAACACTAAATATACACACAATAAAACTATATACAGCAGTTACTCCAGCCCATAAGCCTTTTTAAAAAGATATGTCTTTACTAAAGATTTAAAAACCTGAAGAGAAGTGGCCGATCGCAGGTAAAGAGGCAAGTTATTCCACAACTGAGGTGCTGCCACCGAGAATGCCCGATCCCCCTTAAGTTTTAAACGGGTCTTAGGAACAGACAACAACAAAGTGTTTGATGACCTTAATGGCCTGTTGGTCTGATAATGACCAGAGGACATTATCCTCCTACTTGGAGGAGAGATGCGATTCGTTTTTGATGTGTGCCGGCCAGAGATAATCATGTTATGTAGCATGAATGGAGACATTATATGCCAGTGGTCAAGGAACAATATGTTTGTTATATTTTGACATTGACAGTGTTAGAGAATATGCAATAATGAGTGTGCATAGTGAAGGACTGTGAACCATTGGGATTTTAAACATTTGTCATACAATCTCCTACATCATTAGCAGCTTACATACATTCTGACAAGTTTACTGTGAATTCTTGCTCTAATTGGAAAAAAGATACCTGTTTGATGGTCCTGAACACGACACGTACTGCACTTTTTAATAAAGCTATGAAAGACAGCTGAAAATGTGTACCGTTGTCATATTTGTCTGGATAAACTGAGAACGTTTTGCCGGGGTCTGAACTTGATGTACTTGTCATGACATGGCACCTTGAAGAATAGTAGTAAATAAAATCAATAAAATATTTGTTCACTAATTCATCCAGTCATCTTTTCTCTAGTTTAGATTGTTACGCCAGTAGATGGCGATAAGTGACTGTCTTTTTTGTTGTGCTACGAGCGAGTCACTCACTCATTCACTCAAACGATTCATTAAAGAACTAGTTGTATTCTAGTATATTATTTTGAATCCATACTTAATATCCTTTATAAATCAGATTATCACAGAGTATTATTTTTTCAGCATTTTCCCTCCATTTTGTGACTTTTCAAACTACAAACTGATACTATTCACATAATTTAAATGCAGTTCCAAACCTGTTTGGCTTACTTCTTAACACAAAAGAACATTTTTTGAAGAGCGCTGTTAACCATTGTATTATAGTAGATGTTTTGGTTACCGTAGACTTCTACTGTATTATAGACCAATTTAGAGTAGACGTCACAGTTACGTCACTTGCAGCTGCGCGCGCATAGTGGCTGCAGAAAAACAAGGTAAATGGGTAAAATCCATGGAATAAAAGAAAAAAACATTTTTGTGCCTTTTGATGTCAAGATCGGAATGCTCCTTATTAGAATTGTGAGATATAATCTCGGAATTGCGAGAATAAAGTCAAAATTTTGAAATATAAAATCAAATTTACCTTTTTTTATTCTTTTATTCCATGGCTCCATAGACTGCCACTTGAAAACCGTCATCGTCTGCCTCCAGATAGGCTCCGCCCACAAAAACCGTCATCCCTGTTTCGGATCTGTAAGACTATCGCACTCTCTAACGTCAATTTCGTTGAATAACAGTGCTTATCGCTGGGTGACAAGCTCTTGTAATATGCGTAGAACATTTTGAAGATGACATCTAATTAATATAATTTATAATCTTTTTAAACCTAACTATGTTGTACCGTATCCGTGAAATTCTCTAACTGTAAAGGCTATCTCTCCCGGGTTTTCTGCAACCATGATGCGCGCGCATCCTGAATGTTTACAAACCGGTAATTGGTCTATAGGGAACCGCATGATGGCGAGTAAATGTTGACAATTTTGGGTGAACTATCCCTTAAAAAGATAACGAACCACCAGCACCTATACATTAAAAAAAAACATACAAGGGTGGTGGTAGGCTGTAAAACACAGTAACTTGACTACATTTTTTTTTTATTAATTAAACATTCGTTCAGAAATACAAGTGTTGTAACTTGACTACATTTCCCAGACTTCATCCAACACGCCACGTCACTCTTTGCCCAGCCCGCAGTTCCTTATGTGGTGGATCCTCCGGACTGAAGCGCAGCGACGCCAGCGAGCATGGCAGACACAGAGGACCCTGGTCCAGGCGAGGCTACCGAGCCGGACACCCCGCGCACCAGCTGGCCACACTACGTCTCGTTCAGCGAGACCGTTCAGCCAGCAGTGGGGATGGTGAGCCACCTACTGAGCCAGCAGACGTCCCTGAAGTTCGACAAAAACATCAAACAGGCCTTCTACAACACGGGAGCGATGATCTTCGTGGCGATCTGTTGCGGAGCAGCGGTGTTGGTCTACTTCATCCTGGAAGCTTTTCTGCGGCCGCTGCTTTGGGCAGTGCTGTGCGGCACTTTCCTGCACCCCTTCAAATACTCGCTCGCCCGCCTCGGCCGCTCCTGGCTCAGCAGCCTGCAAGACAGCGGCACACCGATAGTGGTTGGGACTCTGTTGGTGCCGGTGTGGTGCGTAAACTACGGGGTGGAAACTCTGGGAGGACTGGTCGTAGATCGGCTCAATGTACTGCTGGCAGTTGGGGCCGGTGTACCCCTGCTTTATTTCCTATATCTGTTCTGGAGCGTCATTGGCATGCAGGTGATCCTCAGTCACGTCTGTACGGTCATCTGTCTCGGCCTGGATTGTTTCAGCGCGACGTGGGTGAGTTCTGTCTGTGAATGGGACAGAGACAACGCCTCCTGTCAGACAATGCACAGGTGGTAGAGTGGTAACTTGTGGGACAGGGACTTAGAACTTCATTCCTACTTAGATAACAGAATAATTCATGAATTTATGTACTTTTAGTAATGATACTTTTATAACATTCATAATTGTTTGAAACTTACATTTTGCAGCAAAGTTTGGTATTATAATATATAGTGTCATATATGTGACCCCCTGGACCACAAAACAAGGGTATATTTGTAGCAATAGTCAACAATACAGTGTATGGGTCAAAATTATCAATTTTTCTTTTATGCAAAAAATCATTTGGATATTAAGTAAAGATCATGCTCCATTAAGATATTTTGTAAATTTCCTACCATAAATATATCAAAACTTAATTTCTGATTACTAATATGCATTGCGAAGAATTTTGGACGACTTTAAAGGCGATTTTCTCAATATTTGGATTTTTTTGCACCCTCAAGCCTGTGTTATTCCAGAGAAATATTGTCCTATCCTAACAAACCATACATCAATGGAAAGCTTATATATTTACAATAACAAAAAATTGACCATTATGACTGGTTTTGTGGTCCAGGGCCACATATATCTTATAGTGTTTAAAGCTATATAATTTTCTGTCAGTGTCAAGCACTATCATGGGTTGTCACATTCTGTCTCTCTTTCACACATTAGAGAATCATATATTTACATTGCAAATCTGTCAACCTCTGTATTATCACATCTGGCTTTGGACAACCTAACCATGTGCAAATATGTTTGTATAGAAAACTATTCATGAACACAACTGTCCATGTGAAGTATCAACATATCTAGAACTCATGTTCAGTATATGAATGGGAATTGGAGCATGACATCCCAAGATGCTAAAAATATGTCCCTTAGGCTACACACACAGGCCAGATGATAGATCATAAGACATATTTTAAGTTCTTCTAAAGGTTACAAGAACGCTAAAGGACTACATTTCACCCTGACATTCAATTTAATTACCTCAGTATCTGATTTTGTTTTAGTTCTCTCTAGTGCTTAATTTAATTCTTACATGTCA